AGGAGGGAGGAGGGAGGAGGGAGGAGGGAGGAGGGAGGAGGGCGGGCGGGAGGAGGAGGGAGCGAGAGACGGAGGGAGGAGGAGGAGAGGGGAGGAGGAGGAGGAGGAGGGAGGAGGAGGAGGCAGAGAGGGGCGAGGGAAGCGAGGGCGAATGTGGGGAGGGTTGGGCCGCTGCCCGTGACAGGGCGTCTCGCGGGTCTGCCGTTGCCAGGCTCCCCTCTCGTCTCGCGGCGTGCTCTGGTGCTTTGGGGGTGCTCGCTTCGAGGTTCGCGCCGTGTACCACGCGCGCTTGGCAAGAGCTCACCGACTCGCAGCTCATCAGCTCTCGGCGCACGCTTGGCCAACGCTATCATGCACCTGCGTTGCCGTCTTCGTGCAAGTGTCACCATGTCTCGCCATCAGCTAGCTGGCGCAGTTGCTTTGCTGATTTTCTGTCGGCGATGCACCCCGTCTCATTCCGGCAATGAAACGAAGCATCACCTAATCAAGCATACCACCTTCCCTCACTCGGCTGAAACGTCAAGCGTGTTACAACGGGATGGCATACTACCGCGCCATCATCTTTGTCGAAGTTCCATTGGTGGCTTGCGTGATCGTTTTCCCACTTGGCAACGACCGCAATGCGGACCACACGCAGTGCTAGCCATCGTAGTGGTGGTCAAACGAAATGATCAACGAATCGCATCATCAAACTGTTATCCCATTACGCTATGGTTCAAGTGGCAGTGAGCCAACCATCGCCACCCGAGAGGCCAGGCGCAAATTGTGGTCCCTGCGCCCATGGCGGCAGGACTCAGGAACGTTCTGCTCTCCTTCTGCCTGATCGCGCTGGGCGGCCTCCTCTTCGGGCGCCGAGAGACCCCAGTAAAGCCCGCCTGTCCAACCTCTCTCCCCTCTCTCCCCTCCCCTCCTCCTCCTCCCCTCTCCTCCTCTCTCCTCCTCCTCTCCCCCTCCCTCTCCTCCTCCTCCTCCTACCTCCCCTCCTCCTCCTCCTCCTCCTCCTCTTCCTCCTCCTCCTCATCCTCCTCCTCCTCCTCCTCCTCCTCCTCCTCCTCCCTCTCCTCCCTTCCTCCTCCTTCCTCCTTCCTCCTCCTCCTCCTCCTTCCTCCCCTCGGCCACCCGCGGGGGCGCGAGGATAAATCGCGCCTCGCGCGTCGCGGTCTGGGCCGGAGCGCCTGCCCCTCTCCAAGAGAGCGGCGCGAGCGCGGGAATGCGGGAACTGTGACCCAAAAAGGCGCGGTGCGCGAGGTTCGGTGCTTCGGCGCTCCCCCGCCCTCCCCGCTCCTCCCTGGTCTTCCGCGAGGGAGGAGGAGGGACGGGAACAGGAAGAATGGCGAGGAGGAGGAGGAGGAGGAGGAGGAGGAGGAGGAGGAGGAGGAGGAGGAGGAGGAGGAGGAGGAGGAGGAGCAGGAGGACGAAGAGGGATATGACTGGACTGTAGGTCGCAGCGAGGGACTCCCAGGTACATGATCGGTATCAACAGCAACGTCGTGACAAAGGGGCAGCTCATCTGCCCTGATGACTGGACTGGGGACGTCGGGAACTGGACCTCGTGGGGCTACGGTCAGTGCTACCACTTCAGCGACTGGGGCCAGGGAATTCTCAGCTCTATGAACCTCATAGGCGCGACGCTGTCCTCCCTGATCTGCCCCTGGCCCAGATGACCCCCAGATCTGCCGACCTGGGCTCGAACAGTGACGATCGACTGGTCTCCCGGTCAGCGAGGGCATCCCACCTCCTCGCGGATCGGGTCATTCGGATTGGCGAGAGGGAGGAGGGGATGGAGGAGGAGGAGGAGGCTGATATGCCCCGAGACCCGCAGACATTGCCGAGAAGGCAGCTGTGGCCCCGCTGCGGAAACTTTACGAGAAGGGGTGTGCGCGGTTCCTCTCGGAGGCCACGTATGGCGCGAGGGCGGCTCTCGAGCGGCGCGGCAAGTGGATTATATTTCTGTGAATAGACACTCTTTTTTGGTCTGCGGGTCGGGAGCGGGCCCCTTCCGGTCAAGGGCTAAACGGGGTGCGGGTAGCCCTAATTGGGGGGACTGGGCGCGGGCGGGCGGGGCCTCAGGCGGTCGGAGGGCTCAGAGTACAGGCGGTGCCGAAGATCTTGCACAGGACAAGGTACGCCATGGACTGGAGCAGGGGCTCCCTCCTCTCTGTGAATAGGCACACACAGAGATATTTAGGTCGTAGTTTCCTCTCCTTCTCTCTATATGTTGTTATATATATATATATGACATATGCTTGCAGGAGTATGCTGAGCTGTGTATTGACCGCCGTCTCTCTGTCACTGACGATTGCACGTTGTAGTCATATGGGCTCAGGCTTTTCTCTCGGGAAAGACCCGACTGGCCCCGCGCCTCCTCCCCGGCGCGCTGGCGCTGGCCGCGGCATCGGCGCCAGGGCTGGCTTCGCTGCTGTGGCAGGCGGCGCCGAGTGGGACTGCGGCCGTGGTCCCACGGGCCTCGCGGCCCTCGGCAGCGGCTGCGAAGGGGGAG